TCATTAAGGAGAAATTTACAAAATATTTCATTTAGTTGTGCAATTTCCATGAAAGTTCAAGGGATTGACAGAACTATGAAGACCAATGTTTAGGACTAAGTGTTTGATTTGTCCTAGCTTTACTTTTTAATGCAAAGTTCAGTATTTTTTTTATCATCATTTTTCACATGATGGCCAGCTTCAATTTTTTTTTTTTTTTTTTTTACTCATGTCAGTGAAAATCCATAGCAAAGCTAACAACCTTTGGATTTTGCTAGCTATCTAGTCAGTGTATTTGGCTGCCTCTGACACCTTTCATGTTCAGGACTGCAAAGCAAGTAGTCTCCATATCTAAGTCAATAATATAGCTCAAGAAATATAGAAATCTGCCTAGTTTTGATCCCTCCAGGATTCACTTAATACTACTTCCCTTAACACAACAACAATCCATTTTCTGGTTTAATTTTCCTGAGCTATTTTAGAAATGCTTGGATCAAATATTATACTGCAGGCAATACAAAACTGTGGTTATGTTCAGTGAAGGTAAATTAGTTGCTTATGTTATATACCAAACTAGATAAACATCTTTGCAAAAGGTAACAAATAGCATAATCATCAAGGAAAACCACTATGTAATTTTGATTTGTGCTCTCTAACATAAGGGAAATAATTCAAGTCATATTCCATTAAAATATCTACTAAAACTATTTGTGCAATTTAAAAGGTAGATTATATGAATGTGTTTCTTACTGCCATTAAATCCATAGTTATAAAACAGTTTAATTGGAAATCAACAATGGTACAACTGAATTAGAATGAAAAATGTTGTTGCATATTTGTAACAAATAATTCTGATAATGAACAGTTAGCATACTAGCTCCAGCAAAAAACTGAAAAAAGAAACAAAATAGCAAGTTGCAGTCTGATCCAAATTTTCATAAATATAAAGGACATTTAAAGTACTGGAATATATAAGCACAAAGACAGGCTGCTACAATCACTGGCTGAAAGTAATCCCACCACACACAATTGTACTTCAGCAGTTTCATTTAGCTTCCATTTATTGTCCCTATATATCCTTTCCTACTGCTGTTGAGTGGTTCCTCAGATAAACGTTAGATCGCTGATGTCTAACTCAACAGTTTGCTTCAGGGATATGTCCAGTTGGTGCATACCGGAAAATGGTCTCCCACAGGACTGAGGCTCACCCCTATTAGCTACCTATATCAGATCCCAAAAATCTCATCTATGACAGCTCATTCAGTGGAGCCTGGAATTTTTGCCATCTGGAGCTCCTCTTGAAATGATGGCCTGCCGTTTATTCTGTAGAGAGAGACAAAGCCCAGATTGATATGAGCTGGCTGCTGTTTTCACCTGGGCCATGCAGAAGCAGGTTGATAACTTGCCATCAGGGACCCCTTCTATGCAATGAGACCTTCCCAGTGTATGTTGCTATTAGTTTGTAAAGAACATATTACCCCTACAAACAGCCAGTACTAGAAAAATACAAAATCTCCCTTCCAGGTTTACTGGTGTTCCTTGGAGAGCTAATGCCCATTTGATAGACAACTGCCACTCAGTGGTGGATTAGCCACTGGGGCAACTGGGCCCAGGCCCCAATTGGAATGTCCTGGTGCCCTGGCCCGGTCCGCCTGCCCACCCGCCCAGCGCTTCTGCACCCGCTCCCTAGCTAGAGGCAGAAGTAGCTGCTTCTTCCCCACACAAGTTGAGCCCAAGGGACGTTGGGGCCACAGGATTAATGTAAAGTGTAACTTCAGTTGCCAGCTCCTTGGCCCTCTCCCTTGCAGCTCTCTGTGGTGGCCTATGCAGGATCAGCAGGAAGCCCTTTGGAGCTGCAAAGATATGCAGGTAAATATGTTTAGATAAATCATAAATCCCTTGAAACACAAGTATGTTAATGCACCATTATAAGATGACTGTGAAGGGCAGGATTGTGACTTGTTCTGTACCCACCTCACAGGTCACAACATGGGGGGCAGGGGAGAACCCCCTGGGGCTGCAGCTCCCCCCAACATGGGCAGGCCGGCAAAGGGCAGGGCCTTGACTCTACCCTGCATGATGCTCTCCCAACACAGCTGAGCCAGTGCAGAATGAGAACAAATCTGCACCTGCTAACAGGCTGGCACAGACCTCTTCCTAGAGGGAGGAAGGAAGCGAGCAGCTTGTGGCTCTGAGCTAATTCAGTTTCAGGCCTGCTTGTGGGGCAGTGCAACTCCGGGCCGATTACATTCTCACAATCTAGCCTCAAGTGATACCCTCCTCTTACAGTGATGTATTTCTGATAATCACAGGGCATTATGGCCTACACTGTATTTGATCACATTCCTTTTAGCTAGCTGATGTTTTACAAGGATAGATATCATAGACCAGGAAACTGCTGTCTTATGAATAATTCAGGAGCTTCTGTAAATATACAAATAAGGATATTTTAGTATATCAACTGCCTTCTGTTCCTTTAAATCTATCATTTTTCATGGGAAACTGAATACTACAGTATTTCTGAAAATGCCCTGGGCATAATTTAGAACAGCTCCAAAGCTGCTCTAAGTTACATTGCCTGCAGGCAGAGGCAGTGGCTGTAGTGGACAAGAAGTTGGCAGAGTGCAAATCTCCATTTGCCCCGGCATGCACCTTTCTTTCCCTCCCTGCCCTCCAACAAGCTTATGCTGAAAGGGGTGGCACAAAACTGCCTGTACCAGTTCCCTGTGTGAGGATTTCCTGTGATGGGGAATCCCTGGCTGCCCCGTTAGGGTAGTTTTCCAAATGGTGCAAAAGAGCTGGAACCAGAGCGCTAGTTGAGCTCATTGTGTTTGACTTGCAAATCACGTAGATTCTGGAGAGGAAAAAGAAGGTCCAGAAAAGGAGGAGGGGGAATTTTGAAATTTTAAATATGTTTTTCGCCAAAATGTCATTTGTGTTGACATTTTCCAGCCAGCACTAGTAGTTGGGGCTAGGAAATCACAGAACTGGATTTTTAATAAAATAAAAGCATACACACCTACACTGATTTGCCAGGAGAGATTATTCGCAGTAGGAGAGCTAAGAAAATGGATTGTTCTACACTTCAACTTCTCTTTTGATTTAGCATTTCAAATTGGCTGTAGGAGTTCTTGGATGCAGTCAGGACTGGAGGAGATTTCTCCCCAACCCCAGGGAAACAGACACACGTGCTCATTTAACAACTAATTGATTTATTTAACAATACAAATTTTCTTTCTACTGCTTGGTTTAGCAGAGAGAAGTTGAGAAACAAAATTAGCTTATTTTTTTTAAAGTTTAAATGTTTACACAAAAACAACCTTTACTTCAGTAAATATAAAATTTACACACACAAACTACATTAAAGAGAACAGAATCATGACAAACCAACAAAAGGATGGGAATTCAGAGTAAAGGACCAAATGTCTAGGAAAGATAGAATGGGGCAATGTTAAGAAGGCATCCCACCTGTACACCTAGGTATTTGAAGTCTGATGTGCGATATGAAACCAAGTACATTAAAATAAGAATTACATCTCTTTTATAGCATATCTTTTGTGATTATAAATATCTGAATTCTGTAGGTCACATATTTAATATGTGAAATATATATTTTGCCCCTTATTGGAAATTCATTGGAGTGTTGTGCATGCATTCTTCTACCTACGGTGATCATCAAGGTCTTTGAAGTCTCTCTCCAGACTTTAGTTATCTTTTGTATGTAGCATAGTTCCCTGGTTTTTAGAAGCATGTTTCTTTGCCAATATGTATTATTTCTCACTACGTACAACTCTGTAGTGAGAAATTGAGGTTGCGTTCAGCAGTGGTTCCCAGTACTTTGTTCACTTGCACTAGTTTATTACCACACTAAGATCTCCACTGTATTGGCCAGTTCCCTAACTCTTATTCCCTTCACAGCCCTCACCTCACAGCTCCTAAATATATCTAGTTTGGGATATATAGTCCTGTGAGCCACCTTGAGGAAACAGTACAAATATTTAGAGTAGAGCAAATGACACATGCTAAAGGCCACCTGACTCAAGAACAGGGATTTAAGTGATAATTAACTTTAGATAATCTTTAAATTCTTCCACTGCTTTGATATTAAAACCTTGAAATTCTGCTTTCTATACATTTAATGTACAGAACATCTTAATAATGGAAGAGCTACGTCTCCAAAAACACAAGGTCACATAGGAGAGAATTACTTTTAAAAAAGGAGCCAATTATTTGTAAATTAGTTTTAAAGGAATCAATGAACATTTTAGCTGTACTCAATTACTCAAGGGTCATCACTACAGTGATCAACGCCCTAAAGAGAAAATTAGTGACTGTACTTTTCAAACTGTACAGAATATACACTTGCATTTTTGTTGCACACAAGATTTCCTGGTGAGAAGTCTAAAAGTCTCTTCTGATTTTTAGTTTCACTTGCAATAATGCACTTCCCCACAAGTGTTTCCAATCTCTTATCATTATAATAATCCCTGCCTAAATCTCCTCTAGTCCTTTCTTTCCCAGAGAGCTGACAAAGCATCCAATCGGGCTTTGGAAGAGACTTTTCAATGGACAATTGCAGTTCTCTGGCTGGGCGAACCACATTCTTGCCATTAAAACTAAGAAATGAAGCCTCAAGCTATCAAGAGCCTGGCCCTGCTCCAGTTGAACAAATTAATGGAAAACTCAGATTGACTATTATGGGAGCAGGATTGGGCCCATATAATTTATCCACAATAACTGCCATATCAACCTCTCACTAACTGCTCTAATTTTAACTTAAATAACCTTCTTAGTTTAAAAAAAAAAAAACGGGAAAATATTTCCTGTTTAAAAAAAAATCCAGTGGAAATTTTTTACTTTTAAACAATCCAGAGGTATACATTAAACATTTAATAGCAAGCCTTTGCTTGTGTATATTAATTTACCAGATGATCCAGCGGGACCTGTGATACAATAGCTTTGCATCACTGTTATATTTAAATTCACTCAAATGCTAATTTAAAGTAGGAAAACAAAGAAACTGCTCCTTGGGGAACATGTTTATTGTGTTTGAGATGATACACTGGGTGCTCTCTGAGCTACAAAGGGGAAAAGGAAATCCTTTCATTACAAACTGACAAAGGTAAAAGTTAAAACAGTTTTCACAACAGCATGTACCACATATTGGAAATAGATCTGGGTTTAATACAAATGACATAATTCCTAGTAATCTACAGCTACCTTTAATAACTTCATACAGATAATGAATTAGGCTAAAATGCACTATAATATTTGGTTGACTTCAGGAACAGTATCCTTAGTACATCACAAAATACATTTTGATATCCCAAAGAAGCAAGACTTGCAAGTAGGCTTTTTAAACATAACTAATCTACAGCTACAAAGTTCTACTCCTGATAGCATTTACCTTTTTTAGGGGGCAGAATCCCGGTCTTCAAAAGGATAAAAGCAGAGAGTAGAATCAGTATAACATATACACAGAAGTCCGTATTGTAAAGGCTATAAAGATTTGTTGCACACTGTAAAGTTGCCTCCTGCACCCTCACAGAGCACAAGTAGTTTATGTCATTTATGTTGCATATCTCTTGGTCCACTGTCTGGCTATCCTGTCATGTTCTGCTCTGTTGGTCAGGTACTGAGTGGCTATGCTTCCGACCAGAGGATCAGCTGTAATGGTTTGGGGTAAAAGGAGAAGAAGATAGGGAAGAAAAACAACATCAGAAATCGTTCTATTAAAAAAGGAAACATTAAAAACATTACTTGCTTCCCAATACACTCTTTGTTAGGCCAGAAAATGCTAGGCTTTGTAGCAGAGGGCTTGACACATAAGACATTTTCAAGAACAAACACCCAAAGCAGAATGAATAGGAAGGATTTTAATCTGTTTTGATTATCTGCAGGCTCCAACGTTTAGTTTATTTAAAAGACAGACAGACATCTGTGTTAAAATGTTATAGCTTTTCATTTTAGCTGACTGTCTGAACAACAGCTACAGGCTTGGAGTTGTGTAAAACTAGAAGCAACCCATGAGCCATTTGTGTCTGGAACTGCTTGATATTATGCAATGTATATAGAATATTTTCACACTTTTAAAATGTTAAACTTAAAAAAAAAAAAACTTCACATGCCACAGGAGGCCAAACTGCTCCTGTGCAGATTAACACATCACCAGTCAGAGGTGACAAAAGCATGGTCTGAAAGATTTCCTCATGACACCCTTAAAAGAGCAGCTGGTTACTTCCAAGCTTATTAAATACCACACAGTCATCTAAATTTTCATACAGTCGCACCAGACTCTACCGCCTCAACTGGAAGCCCATTCTCCTGACTGGTCCCTCATAGAGTATGTCTACACTGCAAAAAACAGACACATGCAGCGAAGCGCAAGTATCCAGGCCCCAGCACCAGGGGAAGCGCTCTCCCCCAGTCTCATTCAATTTGAGCTCTGGCTCCCTCCCCTGGTCAACTCACTCCCAGCTCAACCCCTTTAACAACTTGAAATAAAAGAGAAGGAAAAGCAGGGGAGCTGAAATGTTGTTTGTTTACAGGGATAGGATACACCATTAACATTTTACCTTCTTTGCTTTCCCCCTTCCTTTATTTGAAAACATCAGAGTGTAGCTTCAAATGAACATGAAAACTTAGATATTTCATAGAGTAACTGTATGTGCTAATTTACAACATTTTTATGAATGCATAGTGTTGTGTATATTAACGAATTCAAGGCTCTTTCATGATAAAACCCTTGACCAAATCCTGCTCCCATTTAACCTAGTGTAAATCCAGAATAAATCCATTGATTTAAAAGTATTGGCCCATATTCTTTCCAGTTTGTATTCTCTTCCCCTCCCCAAAAAATATATTTAAGGAGGCTGAACAGGAAGCTGTTTTTCATATAATGGTCAAGTGGTTAAGGCAATGGACAGGGAGTCAGGAGATCTGGGTTCTATTTCTGGATTGTCCACTAACCTGCCGTGTACGCTTGGGCAAGTCATGTCAACTCTCTGTATCCCCGTTTCCTCCTTCTGCAAAACGGGATAATGCTATTTACCCTCCTTAAAGATGGATGAGTGAAGAGAGCCATATGAGAGCTAAGGACTGATGTGCAGATCTTGGCACTGGCTATGCAAAGGCTAGAAAATATATTACAGGGAGCAATCTTGCCACGATACACGTTTAGATGGATTTAAATAAAACAAGGGGTTTTAATCTCTAATCTCAAACATCTATTTTAAGAATGACAGAATTATTCTGTAGAGAATCATCTACTGAATCATTTTTGCAGCAAATGAGCAAGAGTTCATGCTTGGTAAATTAGAATTTGCTTACCAGGATTGCAGTCTGTCAAGAGAGAACAAATAGACAGCAAAACCTTTGAAATAGTCAAAGCAGGGCTCCAGTTGTCTTTCAGAATATCCAGACAGATGACTCCCTGACTGTTGATGTTGCAGTGATAGATTCTGGTACGGAAAGTAACCTAAAGTTACAGACAAAAATCATTAAATGCTATCTATGAATAGCCTGTCCCTAGCTTTGGGGAAGCAGAAGTTTTGAAGGATGCACTCTGAATGGAGCAGAACTTCTGCAAAGACCTTTCTTGTTCATTGCATATTTTGTAAAATGCACTTTATTAAAAAAGTGCACATTTTGCTTCATTCATTGTAACTCTGCAGGAGTCTTGGCCTCATTCACTGCACATCTGGTAGGTAAATCACTTTTATACAGACTCTTTGGCATGCACACAGAGTCATACATAGTACTACAAATGCAGCGTGTATTCAGTATAAATATTATATTGTGTTTGAGTAACAGTTTGATTATGAGCAAGACTATATTACAATTTATTGCAATGCATACATATGAAAAAATGGACAGGGTTTGGCTTGCATGTGTAATCTTAGCTTTATCTTTTCCTTACTTTTCTGTACCTAACTGTGCAACCCTAGTATCCATTTAAATATTGCTTTTTTGGGAATGTATAGCTATTGTCATCTTCAAAGCATTTTACATACTAAATCATCATCATCACATCCCTGTTAGGCAGGAATTACTATACTTATAACACATTTCTACTGCAGTAAGTGCCATCATCCTTCTGTTTTAATTGATTTCAGATTAATATTCGTATAGTATGAAAATAGTTTCTGTGCATAAACAAAATGAGTGAGAAATATTTCAATGCATTAGTTGCAGAAGGCACAGTTTATGGCAGAGATGAGTAAAACATCCATTTTCATTTTACTGTACTTTGGGAGACATCTGAATGTTTGATGAAACTCACCCAACTCACATAATAGTATAATCTTGATGTGGAATTAGAAATATTCTGCAAAAACTCTTCATCATTCCATGAAAACAAACTTACATCAAAGAACATTATGGTTTGTGTTTTGTGCTTTTCGGGAAGTCTGAGAATGCATTATTCTTTATGTTGTAGTGCCCCAAGGAACCAACATACATAAATAAATAAAAAAGACACTTCAATGTGCAGTGGCAGTCAAAAAGGCAGATCTAATCAGTTTCAGTTACACTGACATTTTATAATAATGGATACTATCATAGGATTCTTAGCCAACCGGAAGGTACAATGTAACATTTTTTAGTTGAATTTATTCAGTTCTAATATCCTTTCTTTTTGTTACTGATTGCTATGAAACTTATGTGTAAAGAGAAGATATCTTTTATTGGAATTAGTTTTTCACCTATTACTAGGGCTACCAGATAGCAACTGTGAAAAAAGGGGACAGGGGATGGGGAGTAATAGGTGCCTATATAAGAAAGTCCCCCAAAACGGGACATCTGGTCACCCTACCTATTACTCCTGACCGATTACTTTAGAATTATCACTCAATTGACCACTAGGAAAGTTGGAAAAAAACCGTATGAACTGTGAAGCAGACATATTTCTGGAAATTGTTTGCCAAGATTTTCAAAGGTGGTTTTGGGGCATCTTTTAGGACATCTTTGTGACGTTGTGCAGTCTATATGGTTTTATAAAAACATGATAAGTGAATATAATGTAACTGGGATAGTTTTAGAAAAATATGGTAATAAGCGAGTATAATGTAACTGGGATATGCTTCATGCGAAAGGTCTCTTGTAAGGTATCATTACAAAGCTTATAATCTACTGAGTATGATCATCCGATTTGTAAAAATGTACCACTCTTGTATCTAAAACTAGAAATAAAAATATAACTCTGAGGGCCTATTGTAATTATGTAAAGTGTAGGCCATTAATGATGGTTTGGAATCTTGATGACTCCCATTAACAAGGACCATTGTCTGCAGATGGCTGTATTTACCTGTGAGTCTTCCTGTATATGTGTGTGCTGGCAAGTGGGCAATGAAGTCTTGCAGTGACATGTGATCATGTCACCTGAACTGGAATCCATCTTTAACCTGGTGCTTTTCCAGTGGGGGAAGGGGGGTGGAAACCCAGAGGGACAAAGGGTTCCCGCCTTATGCAAAAGATATATAAAGGGGTGGAACAGAACAAAGGGGGGAGAGGAGCCATCATGAAGAATCCCCTAGCTATCACCTGAGCTGGAACAAGAGCTGTACCAGGGGAAAGAATTGTGCCCAGGCCTGGAAGGTGTCCAGTCTGAGAAAAACTTACTGAAGCATCTCTGAGGGTGAGATTATCTGTATTTAGTTTGATTAGACATAGATTTGCGCATTTTATTTTATTTTGCTTGGTGACTTACTTTGTTCTGTCTGTTACTACTTGGAACCACTTAAATCCTACTGTCTGTATTTAATAAAATCACTTTTTATTTAGTAATATACTCAGAGTATGTATTAATACCTGGGGGAGCAAACAACAGTGCATATCTCTCTATCAGTGTTATAGAGGGCGAACAATTTATGAGTTTGCCCTGCATAAGCTTTATGCAGGGTAAAACGGATTTATCTGGGTTTAGACCCCATTGGGAGTTGGGCATCTGAGTGCTAAAGACAAGCACACTTCTGTGAGCTGTTTTCAGGTAAACTTGCAGCTTTGGGACAAGTGATTCAGATCCTGGGTCTGTGTCTGGAGCCAGACGGGAGTGTCTGGCTCAGCAAGACAGGGTGCTGGAGTCCTGAGCTGGCAGGGAAAACAGAAGCAGGGGTAGTCTTTGCACATCGGGTGGCAGCTCCCAAGGGGGTTTCTGTGATCCAACCCGTCACAATCTTAAAGGGGCCTGATTTTCAGAAAATGCTGAGCACTCATCTGAAAATCAATGCCTTTCTCCAAAAATCACTAGTCATTTTAAAAAATCTTGGTTACTATAAATAAAAACCTTACCCTTACCTTTGGTGGCTTGAATGGATAATCAGATGAAAATGTGATATCCAGGAAAAAAACACCTCCTTCATATACAGAACCTGGGGGTCCAAGTATAGTTGATCTCCATTCATAAATGTTATCTCCTTTAGGGCCAGCACTATTTAAAAAGAGAGAGAGAGAGAGAGAGAGAGAGAGAGAGAGAATCAATTGTACCTTTGTGAATAACATCTGTAGTGATTACCTTTTTACCAGTTATGTTTAATATCAATCATTTACATGACTTCAGCAGGTGCCAAGCTTCTCATTGACTTCAGTGGGGGATTATTGCTTAAAACTAGGCATTGTACGTAGGTACCTAGCAGAATCAGGACCTTACTACTTTTGAATGTTCTGGCAATGGACTGGATTAACCATTCCATGTTCTGGCAATGTGGATTCATTGGACTATCACTGTATTAAACACAATTCCCATCTTTGTGTTTTGGAGTATTTAGCTGCAGTAAGCTTCTGTGTTCTGTCCTTCCAGCTACATGGAACATACATATAAAAAAGAAATTATACCTCACACCCACTCACTGGCTCTGGGGCATTAGAAAAAAAATTGTCACAATTTATATTAAGGGCACATTTATGAATAGTTTATAAAGGGTTAATATAATAAACAATTAATAGATGTTTTGATAAGTGGTTAATTGATTTAGAGCTTGTTAGGCTCCAACAGGTGAACAGATTGTTTGTAACCATGGCTTATAGCCATCTATAAACACCTTCTATGGATGTGCTTATACCCAACTGTAAAATATACTACTCCAGTCTGTAATATCTATTAACCATTTATAAAATTAAATTATAAAAGTACCTGTGATTAACGAGTGTAGTAGTGTTGAGCTGTTACATGTTTACTGTCACTTGTTTAGGATAAGATAGAGTAAAATTTTGTACTCCCTACCCTGGAAAGTTTAAGGTTCTCTTATGGGGAAAAAAATAAGGAATTGAATCTATTGTAACACAGCACCCCCAAATTAATAGGAACCCCCATATTTCTATATTTGTGTTACTACATGCTGTATATTTTAAAAATGATAATATTACAGACGCTTTCCTCAGGAAGGAAAGCGCATGTTATACAAATTTTCTAGCAACTGAATTGATGTCAATGTTACAAAACTGTTTATGAAATAATGAGCTAGCACTTTCCCAACTGCTGGGATGTTAGAATTAATGCTATAAAAATGTGAGAGTCTGTCTAGATCCCTTCACAAATATCCAAAACAAAACTATTTCTCCATAAAGCAGGCACTGATTTAAAAAGACATAAGTAAGCCTCTACAAAACCATAATTTAAGGTAATGTTTTGATTTTACATTTGCAGATTCCTCTCTTGATGAGATCCATGCTGATGGCTGTGCAGAGTAACATAGCTTGAGAAAGTGGCAATATGAGCACTCATGTCTTACTATAAACCAGTTTCTTTCCTGCTTTAATATGCAGAAGAGGAACTTTTTCATCATCATGCATCCACACATCCTGTGTCATAAACATGGAAGCATTTTTTAGCCTTAAGATGACATTCAAGAGACAGACAAATGCTGATTTTAATTATGAATTCTCTTCCAGTTATAATTCATAGCTTATTCATGTTTGTTAATCAGTGACTGTTTTATGTATTAAATAATTAGTCTGTTTGAGGCCTTTTCTTTATATTGCAAAAATAATCAGGAGTTCTAGCTAGCATTTTTAAATAAATTTTAAAAATAATCTCTGGTGTTATTGTAGCTATTGTCCCTTTACCAAAAATAAAAGTAGACAGCTTCCAGGTTATAATTATTTTAACTTTGTTGAAAAGAAATACTACGGATAAAATTTGGGCCTGTAAACTTTGACCCCTGTCCTTCTGATTTGTATTGCATGTACAAAGGAGTTAACAAAAACTGCAGATAAATTTTAGAAGAAAGAGTGAAAACTGTGTAGGAGGATGCCAAGCAATAGTTCTTAATGTTGCAGTAAATTGTTTGTACCTCACATCGCTACTGTAGATTATTCCATTCATGCTTTCTAAAAAGCAATTAGCATAAGAACTAAAAATACTGGAGCAATAATGATAATATTTAAAACCCACATAGGCCACTGAAAAGTTTTAATTAATTCTTGATATTCATCAGGCTTATAGCTAATTAATATTATGCTTGGAAACTAAATTTCTATGAAGCGATTCAATTTCAGCATTAGTTGTCCTAATGGTTATTTTATAGTCTAATGCAGAGGCTAGTGTTCTTGCCTCATGTGTCAGCTACCTTTCTCTCATACAACTCTAATGGCTGGACAGCATTCAATCAGATTAATGAAATAGCTGAATTACAATAGCGACATATTTCAGCCAAATGAATCAGTCACAATTAAGTACTGCTATGGCGTCTAGCTTTGAGCCAAACTATCTGGTAATCACTCACCATCTTGGAACAAGGCACCTATCCATTAATAGCCCAGTATCTAAGTGCAATAACTCTCCATTTATTATTTAGTGTTATCATCTATGCTACTATTAGTCCTATGTAAAAGGATACGGTTACATGTGGGGAGGAGAATGCTATTTTGAAGGTTAGAATAGTCTCACCTTTATAAGAGGGGAAGAAAATGCCCTATTGGTACAATATTCAACATCCCTCTCACAGTTGAGAAAACACTGCCACAACTTCAGAAATAAGATAACACTGTAACAGTAAATATGCTCAAAGGAGAAAATTGTTAAATCAAAAGGTTAGTCATTGTATTACTTTTAACTGAGGTTTGGGAAATGTGTTACAACAGTTGGAAACAGTACCCCATGCTCCAATGGTGTGAGAGATACTTTAGCTTCACTGGTGACTGAAAACTTCAGCAATTGCGACATTATTGATATGTGGAGACCATACTAAAGAGTGTAATACACAGCTAAGACAACACACCAGGCTATTTCCAATCAGTTTTTTTTCTACAGCACATTCAAGCATTAAATACTGAACAGCCGCCGGCTAAATTTACCAAGCTACATTTTATTCTTTTCTCTACCTGTCGAACAGAGCAACACTCCCTCCCTCACAGTGCTGATGGAGTATGACTGACACAAGGATCAGCAAACCAGAGACTAGAAGCACTTACAATAGGATCAGGGCACCAAGGATCCAGTGATTAGAGATTGTGGAGAGCATTGGAACCCAAAGTGTTTAATCATGTGTCTACATGTAAAAATGCAAGTAGCCCCATGGCCCTGATTCTCCACTAGGTCAATATGCTGCTTAGAGATGGCGGAGCACGGTGGCTGCAGGGAGCCAGATGCAGCTCGCGGACTCAGGCCTACTCAGCCCTGGCAAAAGCTAAGGGGCAGCCCTCACCTAGGCCAGCAGAAGATTGGGAGTAGTGGAGATTTGCTCTGGCACACATATACCGCTAAGTATTCTAGCTATGTAGCATATCTGTGCAGTTAATTGCTACTGTCTTGCTGCCCTACCACATTAGTTGCCGGCACATCCAAAATTCAGTTAACACACTTTAATAATGCAATATTTGGGTTTTTTTTTTCCAAATAGGCTAAACAAATCAGACAAAGGAACAAAGCAATCACATTTTTTCAGTGACGAGAAATCTATGCTTTAAAATTTACAGAAAATTTTACTTTATAGGTTAAAAAAATTGATTAGTGCAATTAGAGATTTATTGCTAAAATAAAGTTAACCAAAAACAGCTGCTCCTTAAATACCTGCTGCTTCACTGATGGGAAGGATTGTGACTCAGGGTATGTCTACATAGAAGCTGGAAGGTGTAATTCCCAGCATGGGTACACATACATGTGCTAGCTCTGCTCAAGCTGCCTAAGGGCAGGTCTACACTACTGCTTAATTTGATCTAACTTACACTGTGCATGGGTGTGGAAACACCCCAGTGAGACAAGTTTCCCCTCTGGCGCTATGTTGGCAGGAGACACTCTCCCACTGACAGAGCTTACGCTTCTCACCGAGGTGACGTAATCACACTGACAGGAGAGCGCGCTCCCATCAGCATGGCATGTCTTCACCACAGCGGTGCAGCTGCGCCGAAGTAGCACTATAGCGTAGACTTGCCCTGAGTACAATCTTGCCCAACCTCCAGGTACAAAAAAGGGTGGTCAGCCCGAGCCGCCACAGCCACTCTGCTATTTTAAGGTGCTATCATGTGCATGTTTACCTGTGCTGGGAATTACACCTCCCTGTAGACCAGTGGTTCCCAAACTGGGGTTCATGAAATGTTACAGGGGGTTCTTGGGAAAAAAATCTCTAATGGCGGACACAGCTGTTCCTAGGGACCCCGGGCAGCACTGGGCCAGCAGCCTGGAGCCCCTGGACTTCCAAGAGCTACGCAGATCAAAGCAAGCATATCTATCATACTGAGGAGATTTAAACTTCAAGACTCCTTATAAGAAATGGAAAGGGAGGTTGGTATTTTTTGCTGTTTTTAAAATTAAATAGGCAGCTAGTATTGTTTTTAAAATTATTATGAAGAACAAGTTTAAGCTTTGTTGTAATGTGCGTTGTTTGCCTGGACTACACAAGAACTGAATGCTTATGTAGGAGGAACTCTTTGAGTTGGCTTCTTAAATACCTTCATGCTGTTTCAAATCTGATACTCCTTGATGAAACATAGGAGCCTTGTCTCATAACAGGCTTATTCAAAGTGATACAAGCTACGGACGTGAGATCTTGGAAGAGTGTTGCCATTTTCATAATGTAATAAAAATAATGTAATTATAAATAATAATAATAAATAGTGTGCAATAAGCATGTCATAAAAACAAATTTCATATTTCCAAGATCACTGCTTTTATAATTTATACTCAGGTAAAGGAGAAAATCCCTGGAAATATTCATTTTTAGGAGGGGATTCGCGAGACTTGACATTTTAGTGAAAGGGCTTCACAGGTTGTTAAAGTTTGGGAACCACTGCTGTAGACATATCCCAAGACTAGGGACATATACATATCTTATCTGAATGACAAGCGGAAACAATATACTGTGTAATCCTATGACTGTAACCATTGCTCTCCCATACTCCTTTCCCTGGCCATCCTTTTCTTGCAGGGCATCTAAAATTAGGCCTTGTCTATACTAGTCTTTTCTCCCTAAAACTTCCTGCCATTGCTAAAAC